TCTTGGCAGTACAGATGCGTTCGAAAGCCTTAACTCTTCGCCAGACAAGACAGAGAAAGAACAGAACTCTTCTACAAGGTTTAACAACTAAAAGTGCTTCTTATTTAAATTCACATTTCTAAATTTTCCTAAAATGGAGTTGCTTATAGGTACTCCTCCCACTACCATTCCTGCGATATCTTCCCTTTTTCTTATAGATGTAAAGCATCATGTAAGTGAATGTAATATATGTCTATTTTTGTTCGATTATTCGATTGCATGAGATCTTTCACACCTGAGCAGCTACTGAATATAAGTTTGTGTCCTGGAAGCTGCCAGATATGTCAGATGAATAAAATGCACTCTCTACGCTCAAGGAACTTAAAATCAAGCAGGATAAAGACGAATGGCTGACAGCAGAAAGGCCAAAGGACCAACCTCCAGGGTGGAAGAAGTCATTTTTTGACTGCTGGGCTCATGAAGCTCTTCAAGGAGGAAGTAACATCTGATCTGGACACTGAAGAACAGAGAGGGTTCCTGTGATGGCAAAAAGCATACCACGACACAGGCTGGTATGACAAAGGCGCTGGTTCCCGAACCTGGCTCATCCTCAGAGTCACAGGGACCAGAGGTTTAAACTTGAAGTATCCAGATTCCAGCTGCCAGGTTCCTAGTGCGCATCCCTCAAGGTGGAGCCAGAGAAACTGTATGTTTGACAAGCTCCCGAGTAGATCCGCTGGGCAAAGAGATGCCAGTGGGAATCTATAGGAAATGTTCAGAGCACAAGAGGTAGTCATGCTCCTCACAGAGGATGAGACAGGAAGTGGCGGGAGAGGCAAAGCAGACTGCCTGAAGCCTCGAGATACAGGCTTAAGAGTGGGAGAACCATGGAAGATCTGGGGGTAGGGGAATAACGTGATCAGAACCGTGTTTCAGGTAGACATCTGGCGGTGGCCCATAAGGCAGACATGATGGGGAGAGACTCCAGGCAGGAAATTAATTCATCACTAGGCCAATGATAGCAACCTGGGGGAGACATAGGGCCTGCACTAAGGTCATGGCAGCAGAAGTGGAGAGGAAGAAATGGATGCTGGAGACAACTGGGGGGTGGGGCTTGGTTGATGAGCTGGAGACAGAATAAAGATACAAACTGGCAGGTGAGTAGTCTGAAGCCAGGTCTGACTGCAAGGCCCAATGTCCCAGGGGCCATTCTGGAACTCAGGTCTTGGTTTGGATATCAGATGTTGCTTCTTTCTCATATCACCACTATCAGCTCTAGTACTGCCTCTCCGGACCCTCTGGACCTCACCCTCCAGCTGCCCAGCCAGACTTCTTCCCATGATCTACAACAAAGTCAGATCCAATGACTACACTTTGTTGCAATGGACAGAGGCTGCTTCCCAAACCCCTAGCATCCTCCAGCCCCTCATCAAATCCCCTGCCGTCTGGCTGGTCTCGGAGCTCTGCTCTCACAGGCACGGTGCATTGGTTCCTCTCAGGCTCAGATATCTGAACAAGGCAGAACAAGCGCATGGCTCCACATGCAATAGTGCTTTTTCTATAAAAGTAAGTCTCCACTAAAAACAACGGCAACAACAAAACAAAAATGAAAACAACGTAACATGACCACCCAAGGATCAAGAGTTGGGAAAGGTCTGGAGTTTGTTTGATTTTTATTTTGCTTTTAATTGGAAAGCAAAGCCATGGAAAGGGAAAGCTGGCAGAGGAAACAACAGAACAGTGTCAGTGCTTCTATCTCAATGGAGCAGGCTGTGATACGATGAAGGTCAAAACTGGCTAGTAAAGGTGAGGACTTGCGATGCACCATCAGGAGCAGCAAGGCTTTTGTTTGTTTGTTTTGTTTTGTTTTCTGTAACCCAGGGGCTGGCAATCTTTGTAAGGGAGCAGAACAAACAAATTCTGGCTTCTTCTAGGCCACTGCACAGGCATCGCACAATGCCAGGGTGCCAGGGCGGTCTGTGTGCACGGTGCCCCCTGCAGCTGCACAACGCAGCAGCCTGCATCCTTCTGGCAAGCTGAGCTCAGGAAGCAGGGCAGGCTGCAAATGGGCAGAAGGCTGGGGAAGCATGTGGTCACAGGACAAATGGGCACTTGTTCTCTGGAGGGTGTTGGGCAGCCACTTTCATAAATGATGAACAGAAGAGGAAGGATGCACGCCAGCAGGCCTATCCATGTGCCTGATGTAGCAGGGAGGAGAAGCTTGTTCTGACATCTTTGGATGACTGTGTTATTTGCATAAATATCATCAATATTTGAAACAGAGAATCCAGAATTTGTGGTTCTTACTGGACCTCAGTCCTGCGCTGCCCAAACTCCAGCTTTGCACTTGCTGTTCCCTCTTCATGGAGTACCCCCTTCCCGGAGTACCCCCTTCCCCTGCCCTTTCTTAGGCTGGTAAAATCTTACTCATCTTTCAAGCCCTGGCAAAGGTGTCACCACTTCTATGGAATCTTCTCACACACTCCTAGGCATGACAGATCTTTCCTTCCTCTGGTTTCTAACAGCATCAGGTACACACCATCATCATGACCCATACATGATACTGATACTGTACTAAAGTTATGTGAGCTGATTTTTGGCCACAGTGATGCCTTATTTACCTTTGAATCCACAGCACTTGTGAGCAGTGGCTCAATGGCCCCTGTGGAAGATGTTGAGATCACACACCAACCTCATCACCTTCTCATAGGAAGATCAATGAATATAAATCATGCCAATAGTGGCCTCACTTTGACAATGAACTCTTAGATGGAGGGAATAAGCTCTGACCCTGTTCCAGAAACCTATTCTGGTTTTGCAACTCCCAGCAAATAAGTTCCTTCTGAGACTCTGTCCACTCTACCCTATGCCTGTCTCCCTGCACCCCTCTGGGCTGCTTGGACCAGCACCAGAAGAGGACAAGAGAACTCTGAGAACCTCTCTGCTTCTGCCTGAGGCAAGAAGGAATTCTCTCCATGCAACACAAATCCCAGACTATGATCTCATCATGGGTGTCACCCAGCCTCTTCTCCTATAAAGCGGAGAACAGTTGTTCTAACACTGGGAGAGTCATCTTCTGTCTGTTACCAAGGCCTGACCAAATGCTTGATAGATGTCTCTTGAATGGAACAGAATTCTCCAGTCATTTTTCACTGGACATTTTTACTTCACCCTTAGAACCTTTGCAACGAAGAAAGAGATGAAGGTGGCATTACTGCATTCATTTTACATATACGTATAGAGTCCCATATTATCAGGGCCCAGCTGGAAGAGGGAGGCATGAAAGACTTCGAGAAGGAGATTTGTTCAAAGCATGGAAAGCCCTTCCACATGCTGAGAAGTGTGGAAGGGGGGAGCCTTCCAAGTGGCCTGAAGAGCACGAGCAAAGGCTTGAAGATGAGAAAGTAGAGAGTATGCTCAGGGAACTGCCCGCCCTTGTCATAGGCTCCCCACTAGGGAGGCAATGACATATGCCAGAATCAGCACAGGTTCATCCCCTTACCAGCTGTGTGGCCTGGGTAAGTCCCTTAAACTTTCCAGGCCTCAGCTTCCTCATCAGTAAAACAGAGTTGATAATACCTTGCAGGGTTGTTCTAAGAATTTAGGGTGTATGCAAAGGATGTGGTAAGAAATACACATGAAATAAATGGAAGACATGCTGCTGCTGCTGCTGCCGCCATAACTCTCAAAGACAGAGACTATTTCTTACTCTTACTTGTCTCCACCGAAGCACCTGCCACCCTGTTTTTCTCAAATTTGACAAGTATTAAGTGTGTGTTGACTTCAATGAATTTCCTTGTCACTTTATTTTTATCATTGTTCCTTGGTTTTTGTTTTTCTCTTTAAGGAAATGTTTACTGCAATTTGTTAGCCTGATTGGGCATTGAAAAGAGTCCAGGGACAGTGAACCAGTGAAACACTAATCCTAGCTACCATGAGTTTCAGGCAGGATCCAGAGGCAACCTGGCAAATGCATAGCCAATGGGAATAGGGTGTCAAGTATTAAAGGTTCCACAAGGGAAAAAGTTCTATGAGGCTCAGAGTCTTAAAAAAAAATGAGTAGGTGGGGCCGGGCCGGTGGCGCAGTGGTTAAGTTCACACATTCCGCTTCTTGGCAGCCCGGGGTTCACCAGTTCAGATCCCGGGTGTGGACATGGCACCGCTTGGCACGCCATGCTGTGGTAGGTGTCCCACATATAAAAAGTAGAGGAAGATGGACACGGATGTTAGCTCAGGGCCAGGCTTCCTGAGCAAAAAGAGGAGGACTGGCAGTAGTTAGCTCAGGGCTCATCTTCCTCAAAAAAAAAAAAAAAAAAAAAGAGTAGGATTTTGATAATCAGAGAAGAGGGGAAGGTATAGGCATTACACTTAGTGAGATTCTGAAGAAAAGAGATCAAGTCAAGAAAGTGAGAAGAATGTTCAAGAAACCATGGGTACCTGGCCTGGCCAGTAAGTGGAGGAAATTGAAGAAGTGGCTTGAAAAGTAGTGTAAGGTCAGACTGACAAAGACCCAAAGGCCAAGATGAAGATCTAGAACTTATCTCATGGACAATAGGCAGCCACACATGTCCATCCTGGGATCACAGAATCTGAGACCTGGAAGGTTCATAGAGTCTGCTCCCCTCTGAGAGACCAAGAAAGCAAGGCCAAAGAAAGTTAACTTGCTCAAAGTCACACTGCTCACTAGGAGCAGAACTAGGATGAACACGCCGGTTTCCTAATACTCATTGGGAGCCGGAACCCCCCACTGCAGGGAGATGACAATATACGGCATGAATCCCACCTCCTTCTCCTTCACTCAAGGCTGACATTTCTAATCTCTCTTTCCTACTCAGCCCAGACCAGGCCTCACCATCCTGAACACAGCCTTCCAGTCTCTGCCAGTAGGTTGCGCTGCTCCTGGAGGTGAAACCCATCAGCCATCACGCTCCACTCAGCCTTGCTGCCTTAAAACAAGAATGTTTGCTTTGAAATCCTTACAGAGAATAATGGAAATGACCAAGGAGTATTCAGTCACTTACAAGAGTCACTTGGTTAGCGCATTCCTCTGCATGGGAAGTGAACTGTGTCCTTCATGGTCTCAGACGGTTCATCCCCAGCTAATGAGGGTGGTTAACCACAGCCAGCGCTGCCCTCTGCGCCACCTTCTCTCTCTAGCAGTTTCCCTTCTGTATCAAAATTACAGCCAAGAAAGAGAAGGGAAAATCCCAGCCTTGGAAACGAGAGCACAAGGGCATAAATAAGTAAACACATCACTTACAACGTGAGAGGGAAAGAGGAAAGTGGGTTTAAGGAAAGAAAATAATACATTAACCCATAGACTTGAAATTAAGCACCATTCAATGTTTCCTTTTTAGTTTAGAAACCACTAAATAAAAATGAAGAAAAAAAAATCAGGAAGTTCCCTCCTTAGTGTTAACAATGGAACAATCCCGTGTGCTGTTACTGGGGGCAACTCCTTTTTCACAAAGGGCACTCTGTGTTCAGATCCCGGCGGACCCTGCCTGGTAGGTCGACCTGGGTGCACTTCTGGCGTCTAAAAATAGACTTGTGATAGCAGTGAGCTGCAATTAACTTCAGACATCTAAATTATGTAATTTTAGGTCGAACGGATATACTGGCAAGCACACAAACAGGGAATTTTGATTCTCCTTCCTCGAGAACCTTAAGGTTTGGCGAAATTCTTCTTGTCTCTCTGTTGTAATTTGTTCCATCCCAACAAGTGATAACACCTACAGGGACATATTTTGTGAGCAAATTTCTGGAGTATTTTAAGGTCCTTCTACTTCAGAATCTGTATAACGTTCACCAAGTAAAATTATGTTGCCTATAAATACATGCCTACTTTATGATAAACTGGCATATTGAAATCTAAATTTTAAAAATAGGGAAACTGAGATATTTTCATATAAAATGTTTTATTCATTTCCTAAAAGGACTCCCATGGGATCCCTTTCCAATGAGGAGGTCTTTTCAGGTGAGTGCATTTTAAATGGTTCAACTTAGGAGACTCTGATCTGTATATAATGTTTCAGGATCTCATCTGTGACCCAAAGCAACGTGCAAGGGTCTCAAGTTGGTTGGAAAATGCCAAAAATGGGATTTTTTTTTCTATGAAAAATGAGACATAAGAAGAGAAGAAGTAGCATATTTTTAAAAGGTTGCTTTTTTGTTCTTGTGTTTCTCCATAGCACTAAAAAAATCCAGTTAGTTCCATCTTCTGAAAAGTAATTTCTTCCCCTTACCATATTTTTAAAATGTAGTAATTAACTGACTAATTACAATGCAATTCTAAAATAACTAAGCCACCTCACAGAAAACACAAAATACGTCTGTCTTAAATTTTTCCAAACACCTCTCTCGGTGATATTTATTTCCATGCTTGTTTGTTGATTATACAAACACCGAAGGTATTAATGAAAATGAATTTGTTTCCCTGCAGGTGGAAATATTTTTAACAAGTGTGGAAGGTTTGAAGTTCATTTCTAAAAAAAAGTTGTCATGCTATAAAAAAACAAGTGTTCACCCTGAAAACTGCAATTACTGCTTTCCTCATAGAAATACCATCTGATTCTTTCACTTTTCTTTTCCTTTTTTTTTAAGAATAAAAGTCAGTGCTGCAGATTTCTCCAGACAACAATCAAAGAATCTCATTTCAGAATTTCAGCATTTAAACTTGTGCCTTTCTTTCTCCAAGATGTCTCTTAACTAATAATGCACAATAAACATCAAAGAGAAATTGCAATGCTTTCTGAACATAATGGATACTTCTTCTATTTAAACCCCACCTGAACCCAGCCCTGCAGAGTTCCTGAAGAAAATTATCTAAAGTACTGAGAGACCTTTTCTATTTCCACCAGGACAGATCGCTGACTGCCTTAAAAGACAGGGCCACATGCTGCACTGTTTCATAGAATATGGTAGTGACATCAAAGCCAGCAGTGTGCAGGGGGCAGCCATAGTTCATATGCAGCTCCCATTGCCCCTTGAATTAAGGCAGAGTCTCTGACCATTTGCATTTATAATTGTTACTCCCAACAATGCAAAAGAGATGGTCTTATACAAACACAACAGCCTCATCTCTGGTTCCTGGACATTTGTTATTGGCCTTCCAAAACCTCTGGTGAGAAAGACCATGACATGGCAGACAGAAGCGCTGTACAAAGACAGTCAAGAGCAAGGATAGCCTGCTCTTGAGGTTCCATGCCTTCTCCGTCACTTACAAGCTATATGACCTTGGACAGGTCACTTAACTACTACAGTGTAGTGAGGACCAACTGCATCATAGGGTGGTTCTGAGAATTTAAGGAGTTATATGAATGCTCCATACATAGAGCCCTTGGGACAATGCCCTGCAGAGTAAACACCATCTAAGTGCTTGATATTATTTTCACGTTCCTTGTCTTATATGAACGGCATGAAGTCTCAAGGAAATTGATGAAGGTTATGTCAAACTTTCTTTTTAAGTGGCTCAGATTGATGGTGGCTCTCCTCTTGGCATAAATTTTGTAAGAAGAAATGAGGATTTTGTTTGTTTGATTCTAACCAAGATTATGCTTGCCAAGGCAGCCTTCTAATGAAGATGGGAAAACACTGGTCCTCCTTTACTCCCTCTGACAAGGCCTTCTGGGACCTGGTCCCTGGCACTCTCTCCTACCCTGTTCCCTCATGCCTGGCTTTGCTTTATCCTTCACACTTGAAGCTCTTGCAATGACGAGAGTTCCTAGACTACTACATTCTGCTCCATACCTCTGAAACCCTGCAGATGCTTTTCTTTTTTCTAGGATGCTTTCCCCCAGTGGTCTACCTGACAGACCCCTCTTCATCTTTCACAACTTGGCCCAGCTATCACTGCATCCAAAAAGCCTTTTTTAGACCCTCTTTCCACCCCTGCTCTTTGCTCTGTGGCATCTCTGTCCTGCTGCTCTTTTCACACTGCTATAAATTGTTTCTTTTCACACTTGTCTCCTCCACTAGGCTGTGACTCTCTTAGGAGCAGACTATGTTTCACCCTTTTCTGTACACACAGCACATGGTAAAAGAGCTGGCACCTAGCAAGTGTTCAATATATAATTGTTGAAAAAATATACAGTTTCTTCCATCTGCTCCGAGACTAACTTTCTCCCTCAGATTGTCATTCAGCTACTATTTTGCAATCTATTTTGCCATCAAGCATTTAAGACAAAGGTGCTGATTCAATAGTCTCTACCTGTCTCACCTACAAGATGGGATCAATACTCATTCTGCTTTTGAAGTGAGATACGATCCCAGGAGGGGAGGGGATGAAGGAGACGGGACACAAAATGTTCTTCAGAGAAGTTCTGGGGAAGGTGTCTTTTTATCCTTTCCAGAAAAGCAGGGCTCTTAGGAGCCAGGCTCAGGGAAAAGTGTCCCTTGGGAACCTCCCTAGGGTGGGTGGTCCATTCCCTCTGCCTGCACTGGGGGAAACCAAGATGGACAATCCAAGAGCTTCTGTCCGGGGGCCAAACCTCAAACTCAGCCAGTCAGCCTGTCCAACAGGCTCCTCAGTGGTAAAAAGCTGGCTATCTGTGGCCTGGATTTGGTCCCCAGATATATTTTGTTTGGCCCACAGAGTCTTGAAAAATGTTTGAGTTAGCTGCCAACGTTTAAAAATGAGGAGACTGCACATTAAAAACATCTAGATTTCTGGCTTAATCTTTAGAGGAACAGGCAACGAGTCCCCTTCCCTGGCAGGAGCACCCGGTGGGAGCAGAACGGTGCTGCCCTCTGTAAGTGGGGCATGTGTTCTGCAGTTCACCACATGCCCCCCTTCAGCCCTGTGCAACTGAGCTTGCAACCTCCGGGCTAGACTCAGCAAGAGAATCCAACCACTGATGGAAGGAGATGGGAACTGGAAGGATCAGACCAGAATACAGTAAAAAGCCTGGAACCAAAGAGATAAGAACTTTTTATAAGATCTTTGTTATGTAGGCCAAGGTGGGCTGGGGCGGGGGGGGGGGGGGGCTCTGAAGAGCAGTGACAAGTGGAGGCTAGAATTAATGCTTTTAGGAAGCGTGATGGTGACCAGAGCTGATGGTTTTATGGTATGTGTGAATATATGCATATACATTTATGTCTTCAGCCAGGACCTCTCTTCAGAATTCCAGCCCATATATCCAACTGCCTACTTGACATATCTAATGACTATATCAGACTGAATATGTCCAAACTGAACCATTAAAGTTTCCCTCCAAACCTGCCCTTCCTGCCACCTTTTCCATCCCAGTTAATGTATCTCCATTCCTTCTTCCAGTTACTCAGGCCAACAACTTTGATGTCACTCCTGACTCCACATTCTTTCACTCTCATGTCTAGTCCATCAGCAAATCCCGTTCTAGCTCTATCTTCAAAATATCCCCAGCATTCAACTCCATGTCACTACCCCCACTGCCCTCACTCTGGTCTAAGCCATTATCCCTGTCCTCGATTCCTGGAATAGCCTCCTAAATGCTGCCCCTAATTCCACCCATGAACTCTGCAATTCATTCTCAACACAGAGGCTAGAACCATCCCGTGAAAATAAAAGTCCAATCACATTGCTCTGCTCAATGCTTTCCAATGATTTCCCATTCATTCAGAGTGACAGAGCCCCGGCTGAGATCTACAAGATCTCCCATGACCTGTGAACCACCCTCCACTCATACACGCCACCTTCAGCCCCTATTCCCCTTCCGCCTCGCTCATCACCACACTCCAGCCCCACTGGCCTTCTTGAGGTTCTTTGAATGCTCCAGGCGTATGCGCTCTTCAGGGTTTTTGTACTTGCTGTTCCCCTGCCCTGAATGTCCTTCTCCCTTAGATATCCATAAGCATCCCCCTCATTTCCTTCAGACTTTACTAAAATGTCTCCATCTCAGGAAGCGTCCTGATCACCCTGTCTCAGATTCAACCCTCCTGAGTACCTGCCATTCCCGTCCTCGCCCTATTTTTCCATCTCTGGAGTTTTACCTATTTCTGATTTCTGTCTGTCACTCCAAGCTTAAAGATAAGCTCCTCAAAGACAGGACTTCAACGTGTTTTGTTAAATACTGTATCCTCAGTGTCTAGAAGAATCCTCAGTACATTGTCCAATAAATATTAGATATCTGTTAAATAAATGAATATTTGTTAAGTAAATGAATTTATACATAGTCTATATATTTTTTTTTTTTTTTTTTTAAAGATTTTTATTATTTCCTTTTTCTCCCCAAAGCCCCCCGGTACATAGTTGTATATTCTTCGTTGTGGGTTCTTCTAGTTGTGGTATGTGGGACGCTGCCTCAGCGTGGTCTGATGAGCAGTGCCATGTCCGCGCCCAGGATTCGAACCAACGAAACACTGGGCCGCCTGCAGCGGAGTGCGCGAACTTAACCACTCGGCCACGGGGCCAACCCATACATAGTCTATATTTTAAGATCATATTTACATACGATCATTCCCAGTGGAAAAAAAATACTTAGTAGTCTGCCTGACATCATTAAATTTGGGGATAATACACATAATTAAGCCTAAATCTTTCATTTTAAAGAGTGGATGTCAAAGTGTGAGTGAGTGACAAAGATTCAAATGACGGCATGACAGTAACTTACACCACCACATACACAACACTGTGCTGGGCAGTAAGGAGTCCAGGCCTGCTCCCTTTAGATCTCGTCCTGGCCCCTTGGAATAATATGCAAAAGACACTGTGGCTGGAATTTTTCAGGCACAAGACGTATCGACTTTATTCGGCCCTTCCTCTGTCCCACTGGCCTCCTTTTTGCATCTTTTGCTTCTCTGGCTTTGGATCCTCCGTTTGTCCAGTCCTGAGGCTTCCAGTCCCATTGCCTAATCTCCTGGCTCACAGCTGACCTCCTGCTCCAGGCTCGGCCTCGAAACCTGCTTTCCTCTCTGCTTTCGCCTGGAGGGTAGATGTTAGACAGAAAGGGACACAGGGAAGTTTTTGGCAAAGGTCCTTGTTCCATTGAGATGCTTTTCTTTTTTTCCTTTCTCTTTTCTACTAGACTTTTGAAGTTATCTGGAAAAAAATACAAAGCTACATGATGACACCTAACTATGAGAACATAAAATTGAAATCTTGATGACAGCTTTAGAAAAACACATGTGGAAAAGGTATGCCATGTCTGTCCAAAAATGCAGCGGGAAGCAGACTCTAAAAGGCAATGGGATGAGGAGTTACTGAAACAGTCAGGAATCTGATGAGGAATTTACAGACCTGCAAAGGCAAGGCACCGGGCCTGGAAATCTGCCGTTTTCCACCAACTTTCCCCACGGAGCCAAATGTGAGATAAGGCATTGCTAATTCTAATCACATTAAAACATTTGCTATCACGGACGTTATAATGGAAAATGGGCCATCTTGGGGCTATAAAGGTTTACCTGGTTCCAAAACTGAATGGGACTGAGGAGCTGGTTTGAAGGCCTTTAGCAAAGCACTCTGGCTGTTTTGGTGGTGTCATCCTTAACACCCTGTGGTAGGCAGAATAATGGCTCCAAAGATGCCCACATCTTAATCTCTGGAACCTCTCAATACATTACCGTACATGGTAAAAGGGACTTTGCAGGTGTGATTAAGTTAAGGATTCTGAGATGGGAAGATTATCCTAGATTAGACCCAATATAATCACGAGTCCTTACAAGAGGGAGGCAGGAGGGTGAGAGAGAGGAGATGTGAGAATGGAAGCAGAGGCCAGAGAGACTAAGGGCCATGAGTCAAGGAATGTGGGCAATATCTAGAAGTTGAAAAAGGCAAGAAAATAGATTCTCCTCTACGGCCTGCAGAAGGAACCAGCTCTGTCAACCCATTTTAGAATTATGACCCTCGAGAACTATAAGATAGTAAATTTGTGTTGTTTAAGACACTAGATTTGTAGAATTTGTTACAGCAGCAATAGGAAACCAATACCTATCTCTTTTCTCACTCCCACATCCAGTCCTTCAGCACATTCTGGTGGAGAATGTCCCACGTGTTCTAGCAACCCGGCTAAGGTAGAGGATATTGAAGCTCTCTGTGAAATCACAGCTTATTTTGTGGCAGCTCTTAGTCGTCTGCAAAGGAGCAACCTCGCAAACAGCCATGGCTAGCTCCAGCAAAGGCCTTCAAGAAATGCCAGGCACACTAGTGCAACCCATGTTTTCACTGAGTCACAAAGATGGGCTTCAAGCCAGGTCTGGGCGAGTCCTACTGATTGCCAGTGGTCATCCCACACCCTCTCTGTCACTTATATACTCTACAGGGACTTTTAAAGAATAGTCTGGATCCACTGGAAGAGAAATCCAAGATGAGTGGAGGAATTATTCACTGGACCCATGATACTCTTATTATCCTTTCTTATCTTCTTACAGAAATCCTACTCTTTCCCCTCAGGCTCTTATTGTACTTCTAACCTCCTATCCTCCTCCTCCAGTGAAAGCTCATTTTCAAGACAAGATCTGATAAACTCATTCACTATAAAGTGCACAATGGCTAAGGGATTTAAAGCCTGCCTCCAAGGGGTATTTACTTTTTAACAAAGATCAGAATGAGATTGTAAGCGGGAGAACAGGATATACATCCAGATTCTTTATCTTGGGCATCCCTCATCCCTAGTACCATGCCTGGAATTTAGTTGGTCTTGCATAAAAGCTTGTCGAATGAATAAATGAAATCATACCATCAGGCAGAACACCTATGCCATCTCCTATAAATGTTAGCACTTCCTATGATACGGAGATAAAACCTGTTTTCGTAACTGTTCTAAAACACACAATACATAATGAAATAAGGCATACTAAAGGAAATCATCACTCTAATGTGACCTTAGCTTTCAAATCACTTTTTAAAACACCAGTTTAATTACTCTAGTGATGATAAGTCTTTCCTAAAAGTGGGGAATATGAGTACAGAAGGGTCATGTGACTTGGGACATAACATTGCTGCAGAAGACTCAGAAACAGAGAATAAGGTTCTAACTTTCAATGTGACTGAAAAGGGGCCAAACCTCTAAATGACCTAGTAGCTTTGATGAGCATTCACAGAGCCGTCAGCTCCTCAGAAGAACCTCAAAGCACCAGCCCACTCTGACAGGCCAGTAGTGAAGGCTCCTAGGCTCCTCACTGAAAGCTTGTCATTGGTTGAGTCTTAACAAATGGCGTGCAAACCTAGGGTTATAACCTGGGATCAACAGGGGACTTCAGTGTGGTTTGTGGGCCCCATTAAATTTTATGCAAAACCTTACGTGTATGTGCAAATGAGCTGTTTTAAAGGAATGAGTCTGCTCAAGAAAGGTTTGGAATCCACTGCTTCAAGAAATGGTTCCAGCCATTACACCTTTTTAACATACAAGTTCTTACCTTGGTGTCTTTCTTGGGTGTCATTATCTCAAACAATTCATCTTTTCATCTAGTCAGCTGGTCACTGTGCTAGTTTCCTATTGCTGCTCTAACAAATTACACACTCTTGGTTGCTTAAAATAACACAAATTAATTACATCACAGTTCTGGAGGTCAGAAGCCTGAAATGGGTCTCGGCGGCCTAAAATCAACGAGTTAGCAGGGATGTGTCAATTCTGGAGGCCTTAGGGAAAAGAATCCATTTCCTTGCCTTTTCCAGTGTCTAGAGGCTGCCAGCAGTCCTTGGCTGGTGACCCCCTTCCATCCTCAAGGCCAGCAGTAGCCCATTGAGACTTTCTCACTTCAAATCCCCCTGACACTGACTCCTTTGCCTCCTGCTTCCACGTTTAAAGGACCCTTGTGAATACATCGGGCCCACCTGGAAGATCCGGGACACTCTCCCCATTCCAAAGTCAGCTGACAGCAGCCTTACTTCCATCTGCAACCTTAAGCACCCCCTGCCGTGGAATGTAACATATTCTCAGGCTCCAGAGATTGGGATGTGGACATCTTGGGGGACCATTA